TCCCACCCGCCCCCCAAATCCCTAGGGAGCACCCCTTTCTGTGGAAATAGTTTCAGAAGCGTTGCCGCTCTTCACCTTCTCGGCCACCTCCGGGAGGAGCTCTCGCAGGCCGGGACGCGGATCTTTCATTTCCCCATCCGGCCGGCAGAGCGGGCTGGAAAGGCAGAGCGGGCTGGAAACGGGCTTCGAGGACTTTCTTGTCATTCCTCTGCAGAGCAGTCCCTATCTCCCCCCGCTCCTCGCCTTCTGCACCCCCTCTTCCTTTCTCTTCTAGCCGGTTAACCCCTGGGGAGACTGAAATGCTTAGACCAGTACTCCTTTGCCGGCAGACTGGGATCTGACAACTGGCTGAATTACTATCTCGGGAGCGGAAGCGCGAGGGCCGGTTTATTTATTCCTTGGGCAATTCATCCTGGGAGCACCTGTGAGATCCCAACAACTACACTGGGCCAAAGGCTCTTGAACAAGTTCCTTTAAGCTTTCACGGGTTCATTGTGATAGGACTTTTATTCAGAAATGAAACAAAAGAATTTTTAAAGGTCTGAAAGACAATGAATGACACGTTACATAATTTTCATTTAAGACAACAAAATTCAAATATAACAAATTGCACAAATTTACCCCATAACACTGATCATACAATAGTCTTTAAAGAAACAGGTGTGTACTAAAGTAATTATACAGTCTAAAAATATTTCTATTATGCCTAGTTTACAAAGCTCCTGTACAAAAACAATTATAAATAGTTCACATCTAGAAAAAATACACATAACTTTTAAAATAGATTGTATCCTTACATATAAACACTTTGTAGAAAAAAAGGATATTAAAAAGTAAGAATTTTTCATAGCACCAACCATTAAATTTTTTTTTTAAAGTGAACATTGTAAATAGAAATTTGCTTTCATTCTAGATTGCCCAGATTTTAATAAAAAGAGCTGGAAAATAAAAATCAACCAAAATGTTCCACATCATAGTGAAGGACGAAGTAGAGGAGGATGTAAGGAAATGTTTGGAAAGATCTGCTATTGAAAATAGAATTAGGTCACTTCTGATACGCATCCCCACGGATCAGTGTCACACTTCAGTACTCTTTACACTTCTCAGTAGAAGCAGAATTATACTTATCACTAAGCCTGAATAGTTCTGGCAGCAATTTTGAAATTGCACTAGAATTAAAGTTTATATCAAATCAAGATTGGCAGTTGGAGATTATAATTAGCCTCTGTTTTTTTGTTTGTTTGTTTTTGCAGGCCCTGTTTTAGGTTTTCAGAGTGTACCCACAAACAATTTAAGCACTAGGATGATGAACTGGACAAAAACTTTAGTTGGAATTTTAAAAAATATATTATCATCAACTTCTAAAAGACTTAGTACATCATTTCAAGAGCATGGCACGGATTCCATTTATTTATTTTTGCTACAAATATAATTTCTTTTCCAAAAAATTTACAACTTCTGTACAAATATTTTTAAAAGTGCAAAATTAAGACTTCTGTATCATGGGTGTGTTTACTTTTAATCCTTATGAAACACAGCACAAGGAATCTATCTTTATTGCTCTGTCAGAGAAGAACGCTCCAGTGGGTTGCTTGCTGTGAACCTGAAATTGCAGGCTCTGGTGTTGTAATAGTTTATTGTTGTCATCTCTACCTGCCCCTCCCAACCCCTGTTTCTTAAGTTTTCCATTTCCAGCTCACTGAGGGGGGAAAAAGTCCTTTATGCATCATTCGAACCCTGACTTGCACAGGAAGAGAAGCTATCATATAAGGAATCACTCAAAGATTCCAAATTGTCTACCCCAGGCCGGTCTGAGCTACTCAACGATGCCTCTTCATTTTTTTCCTTTTCTTCCTTTCGTCCTTCAACCTTGTTCGGAGAGTTCTTCTCTTTTTCTAATAAAATCACAGTATTGCTGTTATATTTATTGAACGACTCCAGGGAAATTTTAGATAATCTATTCTCAGGATCCTCTTTTGTTTCTTCAACTTGTTTCAATTTCTGCAATGAAAAGAGGAAAATATTAGAAACATATTTCTTTGGAAATCAAGTTCTTCTATCCAATATTCAATTATTGTCTGTATAAAGTGCAGTTTAAAGGGATAGAGAGAAGCTACAAGTCTTTAACAAGCTTCTAGTATAATTAAATGTAATAATAAAGCCAATTTTAGGGATAAATTAAGACTTGAATCATTTTTCCTGAGATGAATAGGTCCCAATTTGCAAACCAGTTAAGTGCCATTTAGTTTCATTTTAAATGGATCCATTTGAAATTTGTTCAGGTAAAGTGCCTTATTTTTCTTAATCAAAGTTTCAGACTACTCCCATTTCTTACTAAATAGTATTAGTTATCCTGTTGCTAAGTATGGACAGGGGTTGAATTTCAGCCAGAAATTATGATTATATGTAAAAACAGAACAAACAAGCAAACAGAAATACACGATCCCTTAAATTGCCTAGAAATTTAAGTATATGTTAAACTCATCAGAAGCACTGCCATGTTTGTATCTGGCCCCTTTACCAGTCTTAAGATATTTGAAAGAGATTTCCAGGCCAGTGGGCATACTAGTAGATTCTAGAAGGCCCAAGGGCTTAAAATTCATGGAAATAGTCTGTACCTTAGTAACCACACCCCTCCAGGAGGTTCTAGTAACACCAATTTAAACAGGGATATTTTTAGGACGTTATGGTAGTCTTTAGAACTTTATAAAACATGGCAGTCAGATTTAGTAATTATTGGAGGTTAACCCTATGAACATCACTATATTCAGCTGCTCAAGTGGCTCCTAAGGTCTGAGGTGGGAGGAGAGACGGAGGTCCAGATGCCAAAAGCAACAGTGTGGAGGTGGCTGAGCTACTAACTCATTTCTCC